AGTTTCATGTGTGTTTTATGAATGCAGCCTCAAGCTACAACTACATACAGTATGCTGTAGGTTTAAGGAGCCAACAAGTATGATCCACACACAAGATAAAAAGCTTTGGGGAGCTCAAACGTTTGCAGAAAAGTAAAAACAGGCCCCTGAAAGAAATGATGGAATATGATCACGGGTTGAAGAAAGCTGTCTGATAGTTTGGGGAAATTAATCCAATGCCAAAAGAAGGATGGAACGGCTGGAGACCTGAACCAGGAGCATCCCACTATATTACAGCTATGATCCTTATTGTTTCATTTCAATTTCATTTGATAAGCTCCAATTAGGATGTTATTCAGCCATCAAAAGAATGATAGTGATTTCCCAGACAATATTCCTGTCTCACTCCTCTGCTTCTAGTAGGATCTTTCCATCTGAGACTCTAGTCCAGTGGTTCTCAACCTTTTTAATGCCGCAACCCCCAACCGGTCGTAAGTCGAGGACTACCCAACCGGTCGTAAGTCAAGGACTTTCCCTGCCCGGCAGCGCCACACATGTGTGGTGCCGCCCCCTGCGCCAGCCAAGGTGTAGCTGGCAAGCGGCAGAGACGGCTCAGGCCGACCACCGGCTGGGCCACTAGCTGGCCCAGCCCAAGGGAGGTAAGGCACCCGCCGGGCCCCACGTGCGCCAGCAACCCTCCCTGCGCCCGCTGGCCTCCCACCCCCCACCCCTGGCCCTCTTTTACTTACATTTTTAATAATTGCTCAGCAGGGAGGGGTGGAAACTTCCAGACAGCTCGCCTTCGCTGCAGACAACTTGCAGCATCATTTGCAGAATGGGACTTTTGGCGGGCTCAGCAGGGCAGAGACAGCCTGGACAATTCCTATTGGCTTTTGAAAGCCAATAGAATTAGACTCTATTCAAGAGAGTCTATAGAATAAAAGGGAGTAGTACAGCTAAGGAAAAGGGGAAAAAATGGCAGACTGCGTTGTTTGGCGACCCCCGTGAAATGGTCGTTTGACCCCAAATGGGGTCGCGACCTACAGGTTGAGAAACGCTGCTCTAGTCTATGTTGCATAGAGTTCCCTAAGACCTTTCTCTTTCTAAAGAAAAAAGAACCACATCATTTTTAAATTCAAGCTTTAGAGGAGCAGGAAGAAGAATATATGGCAGGGAAAAGAATATTGTGAAGATGCTGAGGATGCGTGGGGCTGTTCTCTGACCCTCAAGAGCAAGCAGGGACATTCCAGAAAAGTTACAAGCAAGTCAATATTAACCAGAATGGATGTGTTAAGATATTTAAAATTTAATAGCTGGAGCAGTGAAGGATTGGACAATGAGTAAAAACACACAGTTATAGCTAATTGGTTGAAGAGAGCTAGCCATCGCATGAGGGAATCTGAGCTGTGATTGGTTGCCATGAGAGTAAAGGGGAGTTTCCTTGTTTCCCGCCTTTTTCCTCTGGGTGCCCTGGGTGCTCTCTGTGAAAAGCAAGTTCAGCTAGAATGTTTTCCCAGAATTTCATTTCATTTATTTGAATGTGTGTCCACTAGCTGATAGGCCCTCTGCCTCTGACATATTTGTACCTATGCAAAACAACATATATTAAACTAAGGTCTTGTGAGCTTTGGGTAGCAAATCTTACCCATACAGGTCTATGACTATGTCTCCTTCATAGTATTTTACAAGAGATTTCTTTTAATAGTTACACTTAAATGCCTTATTTTATTCCCTTGTAACAGACTTTACACCTTTTAGGGAGAAAAGCTTAAAATAAGTTTTACATGTATCTTTTTATTGCCTTTTTTTAAAAAAAGTTTATTTTTAAATTGTCCTTTTGTTCCAGCTCTTCGATCACAGCTTTTTTGTCAAAGGAGCAGAACTTGGCACGACAGAGTTCATTCTCCTTGTTAATAAACATCCTTTTTATTATCATCATTCTCAGTTTACTGGCAAGTAAGTGTTTAAGATATGGACTCTCTATCTGTCCCACATGTTGGGGTTAAGGGGATGGTGACATATAAAAACATATAAAGACATTTCCAGAGCCCCCAAGCAGAGAGATGGACCAATCCAAGAGGATTTCTGTGACCAGAAGATTGAAACTCTATCCCTTCCCATTCACATATGAGCTTTGCCTTTATTACTACAGCCCCATTTCCCATATGGAAAAAGATATGGGTAATTCTTCATGAAGATGGGTATGAAGATGAAGATGAAAAAATCATTTTATATGCACCATAATAGTCAACAACCAATACTGAGTTCATGTTTACCTTTGCCATCTACTGTATTCATTTGTGTTATCTTCTCATGAGATTTCAACGTTTGGTCTGAAACCTCTGTCCTTGATGACTTTATTAAACATAGCCCTAAATTCCCCTCGTCTTCTCCTAGCCTGGAGCCTTCTAGATATGTTTAGACTACACCTCTAAAAATTTCCAGCTGGACGACATCAGGCTTAAGGAAGGTTAAGTTACTTTAGTACAGTTTTAGCACAACCTTGTAGGAAATCAGAACAAGAAGAAGAATGGCATGTATCCCTTACAGTTTGCTAAATTTTTGGACAAACTACACTGAAAATTCAAACAAGGATAATAATAATAATAATTAAATAAAAGCTTGCCTCAAAGTTCATTGAGATACCATCAGTAAACTGGATGGCACAAACAAAGCCTAAGGATGCTAAACTGTAATGAACTATAATACCGGAATCACTCAGTACATACACATACCTACACACATACACACACACAAAACACAAAGTTTCCATAGTGCAGAAGTTGAAGCAGGACATAAATGAACGTTGCTGCTTCCTAATCTGTTTCCAGAAACTAATCAAGGCAGGGTGTTTGGAAGACACTCAGCAGTGAAACAAAAATTGAGGCAGTCATTTAAGGTCAATGCAGTTAGCTTTGTTCCATTATTCGTTTAATAAAACAAAGAAATAACTCCCTGGATCCTTTCCATTACCTCATGACTACAACAATTTGCAATCATAATATTAAAAAAAAAACTTGCAGTTGAAACCTGCTTTCTCTTTAGCATTCCCATATACTTTCATGTATAGAGGAGGCCAGAAAAATAAGCAGCAAGGACAGGAGTTTCCTATTCATTAACTTTAAAAAAGATGATTCACACTATTTATGACATGTACAAATAGAAAGTTCTTCAGTTTTTGTGCAATTGCCAATTGGAAAATTGCATAAGAGTTTTGACTTTAACAGTAGGCATCATATTTCCAAAAGTGGGAAAGGTCCAAATAAATGTATTAGCAAGCTTTAGGACAGTCACAACCTAATGCTACCCTATATCTCATGAAACCCAATTTATAGTTCTGTAAAGTCCTAGATAGATATTTCAAACTTGAGCCATTCTGTACCAAATTCCTCTAAATAAATTCTGGGACCCAACCACTCCTTAGAGGGAAAACAAACCACCCCTGAAAGGACAGGATTGCTTGGTGATGCAAGGAGAATTATCACCAAAAGAATATAGCTTTTTTTTTTTAATTAAGCTGTGGAACTGAGAAAGAATTACAAGATATGTTGGCCAGACTGCATTTGGAGCATCAATACTGAAAGTGTTTGTAAATCCTTTTTCTGTACACTTATATATAGAAATGACCACCTTTTATTGTAGGTGATCTTACATCATATTTTCATACAGCATATTTTGAAACAAGTGAGGGAATAAACACAGCCCATTTGTGACTTACGAAAACAATTGTTTTCAGAACTGCATAGTCATATTTCTTTTATTCCAGAAATGAAAAAAAAATCACAGTTGATTTCCAGGAGTATTTCCAAAATATGGGAGTTGGGGAGAATCAATTAAAAAATGTTTTTCAAAGCCTCATATTGTTGTCTTATCATACATGGGTATGTGAGTGTATTATATATTTAAAAATACACACCTTTTACAGAGGTATGGCTAAGCATTTAGAACACACCAGTCTCTAAATAACAACAGTGAATCATCAGTTGTTATTAATTTTGCAAAATACGTTATTGTAAAATAATTATGGATGCAAATATTGTAAAACAGGGACTTCAGAAAATAAATTTCAAAGAATGGACGTGCAGTTTATAATCAATGGTTTATTTATAATGAAGGCAAATGACTTTTAGAGCAGCTCTTTAATCTTGCCAGGCTTCATTAATTCCATTGTTTCAGTAATTTGCCAATATTAAAGGAAGTGTTCCTTCACTGACTCTGCAGGGAAGAAATATTGTACTGAACTAGTAGCAAAAGGTGATCCATGCCAGTTTGCTTGTTATTCCAATCAAATCATTACAGTAAACATCTTTGTGCCAGCAAAGTCACTCAAGTGCTCTCATGAAAATTTTAGAATAATTCTACTTGTGTTTCTTTCTGAGCAATTAAGAACCTTAAAAATGTAACAAGTACAATTTAGTCTCATTTTCTATGGTTATACAAACTTTTTAATACCCCTCACTATCAAAAAGCTGTCCAGAGCATGTATAAAGAAACCCAAACTGTTGCTTTCCCAGAAAAAAAATCAAGTCTTGCAGTTGTGTTGATTAAACACATATAAAATACAGGAAAAGGTCAGCCCTAAGCCTTTCAAAATCAAACACAAAATCCCTGAGTGGTGTCTCTTTTGTGTGTGAGCCAAACAAATGCAGTTGTGTAGGCAAGCTGACTTAAAGGAAGGTACGTTCTGTACCTCTGTTTGTGAAATTATACTGATAAGATGGGAACATAGTATGAAGAGCACAACAGCCTCTGAAAGGTCAGTTATTAATTTGTCCATCTTGAGGACAACCTCCAGCACTAGAACATCTGCAAAGAAAAGGTTTCCCATCACCAGTTTCAGAATGCTCTTAACTGCAGCAGCTTTTCTGCATAAAAAAATATGTAACAGATTGCTCAGCTATTTTCTGCCCAATACGCCTCCTCAACAATAGCAAAGGAAGCCTCTTACTTTGACAAATGAGTTAAGGAAGAAGGTTGATACTCCCCAGCTTTTCATGCAGACCTCTGCATGTTGTACCTACCAATGTTCCTTTTTTGGCCAAACTACAGACAGGAATTGAAATGCCATCCTTCTTCGCTTGCGTATGATCCTCCTACAGGCCAGTTCTGACTTTCCTCTGTGTGGAACAACATTCAGAAAACCATTTCTCCTTCTCCATGCTTTTCTTCAAACAAAAGTGGCCCTGCCTTCCGTCCATCCTGCTGGTTCTCTCTTTGAAGTTTGCTCAGACAGCAAGAATGCTTGAAGGGGAAGGAAAGGGTGGTCAGCAGGGAGTGGGAGTGAGGCACAAATTCTTGACTATAAACAAAGAAGGCTACTATCATATTGCATCCTCAACACAGGGTAGCTGCCTGATATTCTTCATACACACACACACATACACACACACACACACTCACACACAAATAAATTTTACAATTGTAATAAATCAGCCCAAAACTAGGGCTGCCGATCTGAACTCAAGCAAGGCGATCTGGCAAATGTTTCCTGGGGAATAAACCATATTAAGTCCTTACTTGAAGGAGATCCAGGAATGCATATTTGCTTAAAGCAGATTAGTAAGTCTAGTAAAGTTTGAAAATTTGTAGAACCAGTCTGGACATAGGTCCTCCTGGAGAAAATCTACATGGTCACCAAGAGTTGATACTAACTTGATGACACATAATCAGTTCACCCTTTTGCACTGCAGAACATTCCCTAGTTCAGGGCAGTAACTCCTATCATTAGTTCACAATAAAATATTGCTTAAAGGTCCCAAGCACCGAGAGTCTGTGATACTGTTGAAGGTTCCGTTTGAACAAATGGCTTTACCAGCTATGTCTTTACCAATGTTTCTCAACCTCAGCAATTTTAAGAAGTTGGACTTCAACTCCCAGAATCCCTCAGCATGAATTCCCAGTAGTCCTACCAGTGGGTAGATCATATATATCAGTTGAGGAGATTTTGAACAGAAGTTTTGCTTGCTTCCAATTTCCAAGGTTCAATCTTTCCTCCATATGGAAAAGTCCATCCACCTTACAACATTCTTTAATCACCTCAGTTTATGAGTGAAAGGATAATGCAAGTAAGTCAAGAAGAACTAATGAGTTGTTTTGGGGTTTTTTTTTGAAGATACATTTCAGCACTACCCGTATGTCTTAATGTCTACAGAAGCTTTCCTTAACCTGGTGTCTTCTAAATATGTTGAGAGTTTGCCTGATTGTGGCTTTGGAGGGGCTAGAACAACAACATGCAACCACATACCATATATTACTAATTATTATTGAAGTTCCATACCATTTAAACCCATTAAAACTGAGCCGGTTCAGTTTGGAGGTTAAGGCACCCAGCTAGAAAGTAGGAGATTGTGAGTTCTAGTAGTGCCTTAGCCATGAAAGCCAGCTGTGTGTCTTTGGGTTATTCACTCATTCTCAACCCAACCCACCTCATAGGGTTGTTGTCAGGAAAACAGAAGGAGGAAGGGTGTGTTGCATATGTTTGATGCCTTGAGTTATTTGTAGCATTAATAAAGACAAGATACAAACAAAATAAATTTAGAATTCAAGCGTTATCTTTTCCTGTTGGGTCAAGCATAAAAGCAGGATATGTAAAGCACAATGAAAAAAATCAAAGCTCATTCTCCAGATTAATCCATACAGGTTGAGCTCACACACAGTGGTAAACCGTAATGTAATCAATAAGTCATAGATTATATAAGACAAGCAAATCACACCATTATGCCTTAGAGGAATGTTTTGTAACAGTAGGGATAAATCTGGTCACTTAAATATCTTTTACATTATTCATACCTCTATTGTAATATTTGAGACACATACTGTAGTTGATTCAGATATCATGTTATCTTAAGTATATTTGAGGAGGAAGCAAGGAAACATTACCTCCAGACTTTATTCATTCTTAATTCTAAATGATTTATTGCTGGTTAAAGTGATGACAACTACTCTTATTGCTGCAGTCCTATAAATACAGACACTGAAGACTGTTAAGACTTTTTTTCTTAACATTTAATAGCAATCACATATTAGGTAACTTAGCACCCTATACTTGGCCTAACAAAACACAATTACCATGTCCCTAAAATTAACTATGATGGCAGGATTCATTTTAGAATATGCTAAAATAATGACAGTTCCCATAACATGCCAAACCAAACCATGAAGACCCATTTTACAGTCTCTAGGGCAGCAGTTCTCAACCTATGGGTCAGGACCCCATTTGGGGTCGAATGACCATTTCACGGGGGTCACAAACAACGCAATCCGCCATTTTTTCCCCCTTTTCCTTAGCTGTGCTACTCCCTTTTATTCTATTGGCTTTTGAAAGCCAATAGAATAGACTCTCTTGAATAGAGTCTAATTCTATTGGCTTTCAAAAGCCAATAGGAATTGTCCAGGCTGTCTCTGCCCTGCTGAGCCCGCCAAAAGTCCCATTCTGCAAACGATGCTGCAAGTTGTCTGCAGCGAAGGCGAGCTGTCTGGAAGTTTCCACCCCTCCCTGCTGAGCAACTATTAAAAATGTAAGTAAAAGAGGGCCAGGGGTGGGAGGTGGGAGGCCGATGGGCACAGGGAGGGTTGCTGGCGCGCATGGGGCCCGACAGGTGCCTTACCTCCCTTGGGCTGGGCCAGCTGGTGGCCCAGCCGGTGGTCGGCCTGCGCCGTCTCTGCCACTTGCCAGCTACACCTCGGCCAGCGCAGGGGGCGGCACCACACATGAGCGGAGCTCCCGGACAGGGAAAGTCCTTGACTTACGACCGGTTGGGTAGTCCTCAACTTATGACCGGTTAGGTAGTCCTCGACTTACGACAGGTTGGGGTCGCGGCATTAAAAAGGTTGAGAACCACTGCTCTAGGGTGTTGTACTAGTCAATACCAGTGGCAGTGGACCTTTTGAAAAATAAAGAGGAAGCTAAACCGGGTAGGAATCTGTAATCTCCTACCTGATCAACTACAAACCCTCAACCTACCTGACCAGCAGCTGGGAGATATAATTCAGCAACACTGGATGGAGTCTCTTTACCAACTGTCTCAGAAAGCGAGGGAGAGCACTTGTTGGTTCCAGATTTAGTGAAGGGCTACTACAGCAGGGTGGATTCTGGTGTTCATCTGGATTGCCGCAGATACGATTTGGTAACTTTAACCAGAATCCTTGGTTGTAGATTTCATACAGACAGCAACTCACTCCATCCAGTAGAATACAACCCCCTCCTCATAAGCAAACTAGTTCATAAATTACTCATAAACTATCATCCTGAATTCCCTCCTGCAAAAACTGGGTGGAACACAAGCAGAGGAAAAGTTTTCACTTCTTCCTCTACTACAACAAGCCATTTTCATTCGTCTACTTCCCTCACAACTTAAATAAACCCCAGTTGTACACATTCCCACTACTCTCTCAACATAAATTATTTTGCCTGGCTCCTTCAAAGCGAAAAAGTTACCAAGAACTTCAGCGTGCTGGGGCCATCAACCCCGTCCCCTAGCATGGCATGTCCTTTCATCGTCACGACCACCTGTTAGAGATGCTGCACCTGTTGCCTTTCTGCCTGATCCTAAAGAGGAAGAAACCCCACTAGCAACCCTTCCCGCGCCTTTTACTAAGCGCCCCATCGGCGTTATTTTCGCCCTACCTCGGAGGTGCATCCGGAGCCGTCCAGCCTTCGGCGGCGCCGCGCAGCCGTCTCTGCGCTGGGAAGGGAGGGGAGACGGCAGGCTCAAGAAGACTCCACCTTGGAGGCGCCTACAAAGCAGCTGGGGTCGCGGGATCAAAGCAACAGTGCGAAGGGCTGCCCCTTCCTTCCTTCCCTCCCTCCCTCCCTGCTTCTGTCCGCTAGGCTTATTCGGTGGCAGGGATTTCCAGAATAGCAGGGATGGGAATCCGGACGGGATGGGGGGGGACCTAATTGCGAAAAGGGCATTTAGGGAGCGAGAGGCTCCGAAGAGGGAGGGGAGCCCTAGGCTCCGGTGGACTCATTTGGTAGTCCCCCTTCTGAGTTCATAACTGCAGCCTGAACCCCCCCCCCAACTAATCGTAAAGGCTTTTGCACCGCCTTGGGGGGGGGGCGTTGCTAACCGCTCGGGCATTTATGTTCCCGGAGGTCAGGCTGATCGCTGCGCGGGCGTGCTGGGAAGGAAGTTTGATAGTAGAACGATCCTCCTCGACTTACAACAGTTCATTTAGTGACCACTTGAAAGTTACAAAATTGCTGAAAAAAATGACTTATGACCGGTTTTCACACTTATGACGATGTTGCAGCATCCCTATGGTCGCCTGATCAAAACTTGTATGCTTGGCAAGTGATTCACATTTACGATGGTTGCAGTGTCCTGGGATCATGTGATTGATTTTCTGACAAGCAAAGTCAATGGGGGAAGCCAGATTCACTTAATAACCATGTTACTAACTTAACAACCGCAGCATGGCAAGAAAGGTCACAAAGTGGGCAAAGTTAACTTAATGACTATCTCACTTAGCAACATATGTTTTGGGCTCAGTTGTGGTCTTAAGTCGAGAGCTACCTGTACAAAGCTGTGCAGATTAAAAAGCAGGAAGACGGTGTCTCTGAGCATACTTATTTTTGCTTCAGCGTTTTTAAATGCAGTGTGTTGACCCAGGAGATAAAATAATTTCAGTTGCTCAAGGTAGACGCTTTGTTTTCCTGAAGGTAAGTGGGAGGGTGAAAGGAGCAGCTGAAAGATCACTAAATTCTTACTACTGGTACAGGTAGTCCTCAACTTACAACTGTTTGTTTAGTGACTGTTCAAAGTTACAAAAACACTGAAAAAGGTGAGCTAACAATTGCAATGATTCACTTAACTATGGCAAAAAGAAAATCATAAAATGCGGCAAAATTCACTTAACAATTGTCTTGCTTAGCAACATAAATTTTGGGCTCAATTGTAAATTGAGGACTACCTGTACTCAGATAGACTGCTCCTGCTTGGAATATTTGACTGTCCTAATAAAATAACACTGCAATCAGTATTCATGGTGGCCTTATTCTCACCACAAAAACTCAATTAGGCTAACCATGGCCCAAATTAAGAACTGAAATTTATGCGGAATTGAATTCTAGGGTTTAAATATCTGCAGCACAACTACGCAAAATCTGTGGGACAAAATCTAGACTAATAGCAGATTAATACTATCTACTGTGCCTGTCCTTTGTTGTTCTCCCCTCACTAAAATACAGTTTACCCCATCAGGCTGGGCTGGGCCTGGGCTTGCTATCCTAAGATGGTTGAATCCCACCTTTTTAATGTCATTTTTTGACACAGTTTTAAGCGATCATTGCAGTTGTTAAGTGAATCACATAGTTATTAAGTGAATCTAGCTTTCCCCATTTACTTTTGTTTGTCAAAGTCAGTTTTCAGCAAAAGCACACCCATAGTGAATCACTGATTTGTTTAATGACCACCATGCTTGCTTACGGACTGCTGGAGAAAACATTCTAAAACTGCATTGGTCATGTGAGCAGCCCATTTTACGAATTTTATGACATAATGACCATAATGGGCAGGCTCAATTATGGTATGTCATGGACTACTTGTATGGACTCTTTACTGAAAATGGATAAAAATGAACTGCTGATTTTGGAATTTATTGATTTAAAAGTTTTGTTTATAGGAAGAAAGGAACTATATATATATATATATATATATATATTCATTAGGGAACTATGGCAATGATAACTAATGTTTCTAATTGCTTCATAAAAGATTGGACATTGCTTCTTTAGATATATTTTTCTTGCTTTTTTGTGGCCACTTTTTCTTTTATCTCTTTTATAAACTTTTGCTTTTACTCCAATGTTTCTTTTTCAGTATTGTTTTATAAAATTTTTGGAAAATCCTTTAATAAAAGTTATTCATTAAAAAAAACCTGGAAACACTAAATAGGAATAAAAAAGCTTCAAATCCTCAAGACTGGTGAGCAGAAATAACTGAACCATGCTGAACAGGGCAACGAAAACAAGCTAATGTGTGTTTTCTTTCCAATTCTACTCTGAGAAATGAAATGATGCTTTTGGAGATAGTAGGTTTTCCAGCTCAAAAATCTTACTTTTTAATACCAGCTGGGAATACTGGGAATACATTACTTATTCTGGACTTCATTCTAAATGAAAATGCTTATTTGGCATGTGTAACAGAAACAGCATAGGAGTGTTTGTCCTGTTTTGCACACCAGGTTCCTCTGAATTAGATTGGCAGAGAAGTTGCATCCATTTATTAGAAGTCTGTATTGCTGACCAGATGTTCCATCCAGCTGCCTGCTGATTCTGAGTTCAAGCTGGTGTGTGCCTTTGGGTCAGGGACAATGTAGGAATTGTGCTGTTTCCCTCCCCATTGCCTAGCAGCAATCTTTCTTTTTTGAGTCAGGCAGGATTATCTCTAAGCAGATTTGCTACACCAAGTTTCTTCAGATAAATTTCAACATGAAATCTAGGCAATTAATTCATTTTCCTGACAAATTATAAAGTAGGCAGCATGAGATGTCTAAAAAATGTTCAGTATTGGCTGCCAAATACTGAAAGGCTAAAGTATCTCTTTCATGGTATCACAGAAATGTTGAAGGAAAAGTCTTCATCAGGGTCCAGTCCAAGCCGGGAATAAACAACATGGCGATTGCTTTAGAAAGAAGGTTGTAGTTTATTGAAGAAGAGAGCCAGGCAGAAAGATGGCTCTGGAAGAAAAGAGAACACATGTAGTAGGGATTGGGTTTTTATACCTTATGGGGCTCTTGAGGTTGTTTCCTGTTCCTGTTTGTTATGTGCTCCTGGCTACTTTCCTTCATGACCAGAGGCAAGCTCGCCTGACCAATAACCAGCCAAGACACAGTGAAGGCCTTTTGTTTCGTTTATTGCAATAAGCGGGGAGAGAAGCTATCAAAGCTTGGTTCGCTCCAAAGTTTTAACCCAAAATATCTCCTTCTTTTATTCATTCCTATCACCGGTCGCTACAGCCCTCCTCTTTCCCCATTGGCTGAGGTAGTATGAGGTTACACTCTTTCCGTCTGCCTATACACATTTCCTGATAACATACTAAATCATATTCACATAGACATGTAAATGGTTATTTTAAACTTAGTATATATTTATATCTCCATTTTAAACAATAAGTTCTTTTCCTGCTTTTCAATTCAATGTGCCTCTCTTCTTATCTTATTCAGCTTATTTTCCATTCAACCTTCCTTCCTGGCTAGCCATTTCCTTTAAAAAAAACTATCTATTTTATGACTTCCCTCTTCCTTTCTCAGACTCAACTATTTTTGCCTATATGGTTTATCTTACTTCCTTAATCTCTTCCTGACTCTCACCATCTGTATTTTTCTTATTCAATTAGTTTCCATTGTATTGTAGGTTTAACTGTCTCTGAAGATTTATCATGTTGATGTATATTTATCAATCCCCCCTGTATTTCTGTATACTCTGATGAATCTTCATTTTTGGCTATATTAGATAACATAAATTGAATCTGTACATCTTCTCCAGAGATGTTTTTCGCTACTGACCCCAATGTTTTGGTGCAAAATGAAATACAGCAGGGTAAACATTGGAGACAGACACAACACATAATACCTATCACAACTATAAACACTAGTCCTATAAATATTTGTTTTAACCACCCAAAATTGGGAAGCCAATTTGTTAACCAACTCCAATCACCCCACATATTTTCATACTTTTGTTCAGGAGCTTTGGCCACATTCCTGATTCCTTTTGCAATGTCCATCACTGCTTCATGATTGTCAGCTACCTTTAAATCCCACAAACAAATTTTTACCTTTATTTCCCAGGCTGTTCTGGTGTGTTGTCTTCAGTAATATTAGAAGTAGAATCCACCCCTCATGATTATTACACAGTATTTCACACCCACAAATTGATCCACAATTAAAACAATAACAATAACAATAACAATAATCACTAGCTATTACAGAGGTAACACATCTACCACCTAATTCTTACAATGTACAATTCTACATTTTCAGTTTCTAATGGTATGACTTCTGACTTAGTTATTCATTTTATTTGTAACAAACAACTTTTATTTCTCTGATGAGTCACCACCAACATCTTTGTTCTTCGTCTGGGGTCACCTGAAATTCTAATAGAGATATTCAAAATAGGTAGGGGTTCTGGTCCACTACCCATTCAAGTCCTTTTAAACGTGGCTTTCAGTCCTTGTCCTGGAATAACCGTCCACCCTCTTTCAGGTCCAGTCACCACCTTTGCTCATGTGTAGTGAGTCCAACCCTTCTCAGCCCTCCGGACAGCAGATTTAATATAAGGAACTTCCCTTCTTTGGTTGTAGAAGTTCCTCCTTCCATTTATGATTCAGCACCCACTGTCCCAGCTGGATCTTATGGACTGGAAATTCCAAAAGGAGTTGTTTGCGCCACCAAGCCTTCCTGTCAAAGAGAAGACAAAGACTCCAGTACTTGTTCTACATTTAGCTATTTGTCTCCCTCCTTTGGGAGCCTTAATCCTTTATTAACCCTTTTACATATCAAACATCCCTCTGTAGCCCTTTGGGCTATCCCATAAATCCAAGGGTAGCATAGAATTTCAAATACATTTCTACCTATGCTTTAATTCCCCAATATTTCCCCTCATATAGTTTTTGGATCACCATTCTTGCAGTACCTTGTGATAACCACAGAATCCCCTTAAGATCATTTTTGTTGTTTGGTAATTATAAATCTACTATATCCTTAATCCTTTTACTATCTATTTTCCTTTCCCCTTCAACTATAATATATTCTA